TGCTGACCATGTGCTCATGTGCACAATGTCTTGAGAACTCACTAATTGCACTGCTGCTACTGAGTGGGAAATCATAATACATTTACTTCTGTACCACTGCCTGAAAAAATGACTTCTGTTTCTTGTGTATTGCAGAATTCTTTGTAGACCTGGACTCAGTGATGGGACCCTTAACACAACACAGCAGTATGACCAATCTGGTTCGTTACGTTCGCCAAGGACTCCACTGGCTCCGCATTGAGGCTCATTTGTTGTAGTGACTGCTGCCCTGTTCATAACATCCCCATTCTTCTACCTCTACCAGCGCAGAGACGATCACTGGTGGAACTCCACTCATTTCTGGAAGTTTATTCATGTAACTTCATTTTTATTGCCTTTTTTAATATCCTATCTATTGGAAGTAGAAGTCACCATAAATGGAACTTATGACTCAAGAGCAGTATGTGTTGTACCATCTAATCATTTTCGACAATTTTCTATGCCTTGTGTCTCCTGGATCCTGCCATCCTTATGTGCTTTATGGAACGGTACATTCCCTGCAGTATTGTTTTAAGTCCATGCTGCCTTCAAGTGAAAACAAAAAAGCACTTTGAGAAGATATGGATTCCTGAGAAATAGTACAAAGCGTCTTAAATATTTGAGGGTATATATGAGAAGTCCCTTCTGAAATAAATTAGTAGAAGTTACAGCTATTCATTCAAAAATCGTCTTCTGAACCTGAACCAAGCTTTTCGACGCTTAATTCTGGCATCATTACCTGACACAGTACATTCCTAAGATTTCATACTTCCTATAGGCTTAATCTCTAAAAGAGAACATTGAATATATTACAGGTACATAATGTAAGATCACCAAAGGTGTTAAGAGGTAAAAGGTTGAAGGAATGCCTCATTAAAGAATGATGACACACTATGCAATGAGGTTTTGATATTCCATTCTTCCCGTTTATTGTTGGCTTAATAATTTCAGTAGGCAGCAGAATTTATTGCAGTTTTTAGGCAGTTTCAAAATATTAGCTTTCATAGTCTTATCTACCATTCCTATACTAAATCTGTGAATTTTCTTTCAGTTTTACTGTTTAGCCTCAAACAAATACTCATCCAAGATTTTTCTTCATAGAGCAATCTCTCCTTGCATAGTGACTCAGTGAAAGCAGATTTAACAGGACCGCTACACTCTAAGCATTGATATTGTATGTAAAAGTCCATAATAAGTGTATGCAGATTCTTCATGAAACTCTCTAGAAGTTTAACTAACCAGCTACTGTTGAAACATTATAATTCCATGTGGCATCAATTTTCACCTGTTTTGTTCATTTCAGAGCATTAGAAACGAACAGTATTATCTTGCTATCTTGAAAACAATGTCAAATTAAATAAAATCACCAGATTTACCCAAAAGCAATATAACATTTGTTCAATAATGGCCATGAATACTTCAGTCAGATTAGCTATTTTCCAAGCTCTGCATCTGTTTACCCATGCTGTCATGTTTTGGACCATTCCTCTAATGCGTGAATAATAATGGGACAATTCAGATAGAATTTCAAAGCAATTGTGAATAAATTACACCATTTCACATTTGCTCTTTCCTCTTCTTTTTTTCCCCTGTTATAAACTGCACTGCTCTTCTGGTGCCACTGCAAGAAGCGCTGGTGCATGAAACAAAACAAAATGAATTTATATCAATAATTCACAAGGCTTTAAATGGTCTCATCTCATTCTTGATATAATGTCTGCATACCTTACTGAACTGTAAATTCCATTTCTATAAACAGAAAATGCTCATAGCAATGTAAATATTACTCTGTCTCATCTCATTGAAATAATACAATATGCATATTAAATGCCATCCAGATATTAGTTAATTGCAATTACCTTCTGCTATATAATCCTGTATATCCTTTAATCTGGTGAGTTATTGGATTCTACTCACTGGGTTGTGACCAGATAAATAGGACAAATTTTCATTTAAAAGGTTCAGACTGTTACGATTTTTAGAGCAGGCCTTGGATATTTGCAATAGGAGCAGTTTAAGGACTCTGCCCAATGCACATTTAAGACAGACATTACTGTAGCTGTTGTATATTAGCTCCCTGTAGTACTACCTTTTCTTAAAAATCAATAATTCCTAATATTTTGTTCCACAAGACTGTATTGTAAATGTAGCCAAGGTGCATCATTAGAGAAATCATCCAGTTTAGGGTTGTCTGCAAAGGACATTTGCAGAACTTGCACATCCTGTATTATCTGCACATTCCTGTTCCTGAAGTGGTCGATACACCCTTATCTGTTCTCGGAGGGTTTCGGTAACATGGCTGAAACATGAATCTGACAGCATTTGTCACGCTGGTTCTGGCCCCAGTAGCTGATGAATAAAACCACAACGGCGAGAACTATTCAGAAATGCAGATGAAAGGTGGTTGTTGGGGTTTTTTAAAGAAAAAGAAAACAAAACACTTGAAGCTTTTTTTTATTTTCTTTTTTTGAACAGGATGAGTACTTGAGATGAAGTAGTGTTGGGGTGGTTTTGTCATAAGCCAGAGTTTTCCATTCTTTTTGCAAGATCTCACTAATGAGAGTCAGTAACTCTTTAGTCTAATTAAGTGCATTGTCGTCACTTGTTCCTTTAACGGAGACTGAAAGCCTAGACTGCCATGCATTTATGAAGGATAGATATGTCTTGAAATACAATCTTCAGGCACAAGACTGTTCAAAGAGTTAGCTGCAGTCACTCAGTGAAGACAGTGTATTATCTTTCCCCTGTTGCTTGCCGTAAACAGACTCCTATCTCTAAATTTACCCCGTGTTTACAATCTTTTGCTTAAACAGCTTAAGGAATTAGCCCACCTGATTTTGTATCCTGTGGCTTAGTTTGAAATGCATGCTCAATCAATGGCATGATTATAGTAAGTCCAGCAGTCAAGTCTAGGATCACAAGCCAACTTACTATTTAGCAGTCTTGTTTCAAAAGCAGCTTAGAAACAAATTAAATATGGAGAGTGAATTACTGTCTTATCCCTGGGGATGATGCTTCTTTTGGGCTAGTTATTAAGGATTATTGCACTTTTACAGGCACTATATTCATCTCATTTCAAATGCCAACATGTCATCTTTGTGGAATCATATTACCCCTTAAAATATTACTTCCAGCAGAGTTAATCAAAAGAGATTGTTTGTTTGTTTCAGTCCATGGGGAAGCAGCATGTGTTTGCTTGGGCATTTGCTATGTCTGCTCTTAACACTGCCCACTTCAGGCATTCAAAGTCATGAACCAAACACTAAAAATTACAAGATTGGCTTCAAATCATGGGGTTTGGGTTTTTTTAAATAAACTTTTTTGGTTCTTGTATTGCCTTCTGGATACTGAGCTTTGAGACTGATTTCATGACACGTTTTCAGGCGTTTTTCAAGCATGCCAAGGGCCAGAAATGACACATTTGTTTTTAATAGTGATAAACTGGGACAGTGGTGTAATCTCTTGATTTCTGCAGCTGGGATTTAAGAAGGACACCAAGCTTCATAAAAAATTGCCAGACCTGACAAGACTGCCATTTGTGTCCCATGCTTCAGGAGGTTTGGAGCAATATCAATAGTTCAGCAGTGAAGGGAGCATGCCAGTAAAGGGCTAAACGCAAGCATTTGGGAGCTCCATCAGTATGAGATCCAAGGGCAGCAAACTCCTAAGTGCTCCAGCGAGGCATTTACATAGCACTTAACCTCCATGTCAAGAGCTGCAGCAGGTTGTAAGTGAAGTATTTGACAATGGGCAGGCAGAATATCCTGCTCTGAGTGCAGTGAGTACCTCTAGCCGTGTGATGTGTGTTGGGTCCTTGAGAGCAGGGATCGAAGGGAAAGCCTGAGACGATGTCTCCCATATGGGCCATGTTCCCCTAGACCCTGTCCCACTGGTGACTGATCTCAGCTCTGCTCCTTTGGCTCCTTTCAAAGGACGAATCGCTCTTCCCACACTTAGCAAACAAACAGTGTAAACATTTCACACTGAGTTTGGATAGCAGCCTTTGGCTCAGTCTTTGTGCTTTTTATTTTCGTTTATTTCATTTTGTCTTATCTTTATTTTTTTAGTCATTCTGGTTTAGCTTACAGGCTTTTTGATGATAACGTTGGTGGCAACTTTCACAGCTTGCTTCTTATACCTTAATTTCAATTTTTCTTACATGGTCTTCGGACTTTTAATCATTTAAATAGTCCCTCTGTGAATATATTGTCTCATTGATAAATGACCTCCTTTGAAAGATAGGGACAGGTCTGTTGATATCAATGTGGGGTTTTTTTTAAGAATAAAGATCAAGATCTTCATTCCTCCTAAAGAAACAAAATCTGAGAAATTGAACCTAGACCTTAATTTCTATGCTTTTTTTAATTTCACAGATTTTATGATGTTCTTCCATTATGACAGTTTAGACTGACAAGTTTTTAGGTACTTTGGAAGAAATGTTTTCATTCTATTTTTATCAGTATTTAATGCTGTCTAAATCCAATTATTAGTTTTGTGAGTGCAACTTAAAAGATAGCAAAAATGAGGCTGGCAAGGATTCTGACTTAGGTATTAATACACTTTGCTCTGAGTTCAGGAGAAACTTCACTACACACAGTATTGAAGCAAGCATGTGTGTGTGTGCATACACATACGTATGGGTTTGGATGTGGATTTGCAACAGAAAGTCCTTGCTCATTACTTCATAGCACAGGAAAAAAGATGCGATAGCCATAAAGAGAAAACACTCTTACCACCGCTGAGTGCTAGCAGAATTATTAAAGTGTTCCTCTGTAGTTTGTGTATAGTCCTATTTGCATCTATTGCCTCCTTGCAGGCAACGAAGGTATGACAGAAAGTAGCAACAACTCTGTCATCTTGGTCCTGTGGTCCCTGAAGTCAGTGTCAAAACTGAATGTGCTGTCAGTGTGTTGTTTCTCAGCAGGTTAACTCGTTTGCAATAGACCAGTGTCTTGAAATTTTAAGAAAGGCAGAATATTTCACAAGTCGCCAAAGAAAATTAATTTGTCGTTTTGAGCCAAGTGTAGAAACGTCCTGTACGTGGGCAGGCCCGCAGGCCGAGGTGTTACTGCAAAGGGCCTTCGCCTCTCGCAGCGTCTCGCGACCTCACCAGAGTGCACTGGGAGGGAGGCAAAGGGTTGAAGATGAGAAACCAGCCCACTGTCCTTATGACATCTTCCAGCTTTACTTTACGTGCTATTTCATAAATACAAATAAAAAAAGTCTTGTTAATGTTGGGAGGGCTCAATTCCTCTATTTCTAATACTCCTCGTGGACTTCCATGGTATAACCAGACCACTATACACAGCAATGCATATAGGCATTCCGTATTGTCTGATGATATATATATATATGTATCTCACTAGATATAGTGACATATTTTAGATACATCACTTGGTATTTTGTAGCCTATATGCATAGGCTGAAAGCTCAGTTAGGCTCTCCTTCATTACCGAAATCTCCCTGCTGCTGAATGCAAAATGTTCCTGCCTGACTTACCGAGTAGCCATCTTCTCTACAGTATTCTTGTCAGACCTGCCTTTCCGATGGACTTGGTAGCTTTACTTTAGCCATTCTGTTTCAAAGATGTTTTGTCTATTTCTTTTGTCTTCCAAGATCAGTGATTCTGATCATCTCACGGCAGTTTAAACCCACGGTGGTAGCTGTTGACGTCAGAAGGGATTGAGTTCAGATCTTGTGTACAGCCAGGGGATCCCATGGCTCTACAGCTAGAAATGAGAGCAGGTTCAGGGGCAGAGGAGTTACTGCATAAAACTGGTGTCAGATGAGAATCAAACCTGGCCACATCAGGAGGCTCTTCAACAGAAATACTATGAAGATAAGTGTGCCCAGAACCACAGGGTATGTAGCAACATCTCAGGCAGCTCATTGACACTGTAATCATATTAGGCAATGGCAAAGATGTGAAGAGTGGTTTAAAGAAACTGGGGCAAGTTGGTGTGGTCTGGCATTATGAGTTTAACCTGTGTGTGCTTCTTGGTAAAGGGGATTCATTACTGTTGGTATGTCCTGCAAAACAACACCTATATCATGGTATCCTACAAAATCCGAATATGGCACCATCCCATCCAGTTCCTTAATCCACCTCAGGGTGCCACCGCAGGTCACAAAGAGCTAATGCTTGTCACTGCCCTGAAGTCACCACAGAGTTAAAACATTTTTCCCTTACAACTCCAGCAAGGACCAAGCCCAGGGACCCAGCGGCCAGCTCAAGTAGCGATATGCGTACTCAGTGCTTTGGAGAGAGGCCGCAGAAAAGACCTGACCTTGCCTACCACAGGCTGTGGAGCCGCGCAGAGCTCCCTGAGCCCGCAGCCTGCTCAGGGTGTTGGACTACTAGAGGTCACATAGCCCTGGCCACAGTACTGGTGCACAGGAGGCATGGTGGGGGACCAGTGCCGTGCCCAACAGGACGGAGTGACCTGCGCCCCACGGCCTGGGCGCAACAGAGCTGTAGCTCTGCATTGCTTTTAGGTCTTGGTCCTCTGCGG